GCACGGGCCAGGGACCGGGGGGGGAGAGGCAGGCGCCGTGCCCGCAACCCCCCGCACAGAGGCAGGGTCTGGGACAGAGACCGGCCCGCCGGGGAGGCAGGCGGTTGGGGGAGGTCTGGCTGCGAGGGAGCCAGAAGACAGGGCAGAGAGAGAGGGCAAGTGGCCGCGAGGACGCTCCGGCGCGGCTGGATGACATCATGAGAAGCGGCAAGCAGGACGCCCAGGAGGGCGGGACCACAGGCGCCGGGGGAAGGCCCACCCTAACGCTCGGGCGGGGAGTTCAAAAGGGCAAGGGACCCGGCCAGGGGAACACCAGGGGCAGCGAGGTGGACAGACCCCCACAAGGAGAAGAGAGCAGAGGGGAACCCAGACGCACGGACAGCTTTTTCGAAAGATAGCATCTACACTGAATGGATGCTATCTTGCATTTAAGGTGTGATTACTATGGACAGAGTGTCCACCAGGGCACCTGTGCTTTTTTCTTTTTCCTCTTCTTTCGAAAAAAACTCCCACTTCCCCATCTACATGTGCCTTTTTTTCCGAAAGAGCTCTTTCGGAAAAAGGCTTCTTCCTTGTAGAAAGACTTTTACCAATGCTGGAAAAACCCCTCTGTTCTTTCAGTTTTATTTCAAAAGAACATAATTGCAGTGTGGAAGTAAGTGTAGGGGTTTTTTTTTTTGAAAAACAGCTGCTTTTCCAAAAATAGTCTGCAGTGTAGACATACCCTGAGTACCTCAAACATATGGGTGAACATTCACTATACCATGTAAAGTAGGGAAATAATATGATCCTGGTATCAGAGACAGGGAATTGAAGTAGAGAGAGTTTAGGGGCCTCGTCCAATTTCCACTGGAGCCATGGATTTTAGTGGCAGTAAGCTTGAACTCTAAGTGGTTGGTCAAGGAAGATTATGGCAGCTCCAGATGTTTAATTCTCTTCTAACCAGTAAAGTATCATTGCCTCAAGACAACCATTATTCTTCTTGTGTTCTCAATGTTTATTTAAAATATATTAATAGCTATATTATAGTTATGCTGTAGAATGAAACTATTGACTACAACTACTGCTAATTTAGGGTCAAATTGTGAGTCTCTCTGTAGATTGATGAACAGCTACTCAGAAAAGTTGTTTTACTAATTCAATGGTGGAATTGCTCTGCTATGTCAATAAACGTGACCCTTCTCTTCAGAAGTTACTAGCTGAGAGGAGAAATAGTCTTTAATATTTTAGAGGTGCTGAACATCCAAGGATCCTTTTTCTTTTGAACATTTATACCAGTGGTGGCTTCACCTGTGGCCTGTGGACCCCTGGCTCCCATGTATCTCTTGCAGACTACAGCCCCCCCACTTACCATTCTCCCCCCTCCCTTCCAACACTTCCAGAGTGCCTTGAATTTGCTGATTCATGCTCAGACCCTGCTCCTACCCATCTCTTCCAGAGCTTGAATGCCACAAATCAGATGCTCCCAGCTAGTCCAGCTCAGGGTAGGAGGGAGGAGAAGGAGCCGTGACAGTGTATGAATCAGCGGATTCATAGTGCTCCAAAAGTGCTGGGAGGGAGAGGTAGGAAGTGCAGGGCTCCAGTGCCCTGGTGTGCAAGAGGTGCATGGAAGAGGGGAATAGACAATGGGGTTCATGGGCCACAGGTGGAATCCAGTGGGCCACAGGATGCTGAGGCTCACTGATATGAAGGAAGGCCACTCATCTGGTCCACTCACTTTTCTTGCTTTTCTGTTGCTTATCTAGGCTCATGAAAGTGGCTGTTGAGAATAGTGGAGGGATTACAGATTGGACCTTCCCTTTGCAAGAAGATACAATACTCTAGTTCTGTGGTACACTAGAGTATTGGCGCTCTATACTATTGGTTTAGATAGATGGATGGATGAATAGATAGATATGCAGCTCAGAAAAGGATTTTGAGGGATTCTTAACTGATCTTATATCGCTAAATGTTTTCAGTCTTTTAGTGTGGGTATGAATATTGTAATAATAAACTAACCAACATATAGAATACATTTTCCCCTGAATGATTTAGACTACATGGAATCTAAGGACATGCAATACAACAATACCAATGGCTCAATATAATGTTGTAATACTGAATATGTAGGGGTATGTCTACACTACCCTCCTAGTTCGAACTAGGAGGGTAATGTATGCATACCGCACTTGCTAATGAAGCCCGGGAAATTCAAATCCCGGGCTTCATTAGCAAGTGCGGTATGCATACATTACCCTCCTAGTTCGAACTAGGAGGGTAATGTATGCATACCGCACTTGCTAATGAAGCCCGGGAAATTCAAATCCCGGGCTTCATTAGCAAGTGCGGTATGCATACATTACCCTCCTAGTTCGAACTAGGAGGGTAATGTATGCATACCGCACTTGCTAATGAAGCCCGGGAAATTCAAATCCCGGGCTTCATTAGCAAGTGCGGTATGCATACATTACCCTCCTAGTTCGAACTAGGAGGGTAATGTATGCATACCGCACTTGCTAATGAAGCCCGGGAAATTCAAATCCCGGGCTTCATTAGCAAGTGCGGTATGCATACATTACCCTCCTAGTTCGAACTAGGAGGGTAATGTATGCATACCGCACTTGCTAATGAAGCCCGGGAAATTCAAATCCCGGGCTTCATTAGCAAGTGCGGTATGCATACATTACCCTCCTAGTTCGAACTAGGAGGGTAATGTATGCATACCGCACTTGCTAATGAAGCCCGGGAAATTCAAATCCCGGGCTTCATTAGCAAGTGCGGTATGCATACATTACCCTCCTAGTTCGAACTAGGAGGGTAATGTATGCATACCGCACTTGCTAATGAAGCCCGGGAAATTCAAATCCCGGGCTTCATTAGCAAGTGCGGTATGCATACATTACCCTCCTAGTTCGAACTAGGAGGGTAATGTATGCATACCGCACTTGCTAATGAAGCCCGGGAAATTCAAATCCCGGGCTTCATTAGCAAGTGCGGTATGCATACATTACCCTCCTAGTTCGAACTAGGAGGGTAATGTATGCATACCGCACTTGCTAATGAAGCCCGGGAAATTCAAATCCCGGGCTTCATTAGCAAGTGCGGTATGCATACATTACCCTCCTAGTTCGAACTAGGAGGGTAATGTATGCATACCGCACTTGCTAATGAAGCCCGGGAAATTCAAATCCCGGGCTTCATTAGCAAGTGCGGTATGCATACATTACCCTCCTAGTTCGAACTAGGAGGGTAATGTATGCATACCGCACTTGCTAATGAAGCCCGGGAAATTCAAATCCCGGGCTTCATTAGCAAGTGCGGTATGCATACATTACCCTCCTAGTTCGAACTAGGAGGGTAGTGTAGACATACCCTAGTAGACTGAACCTGAAAATCCAGTTTAAACGTAAATGATTAATTTACTGTTAAAGCAAGTCAGTATCTTTTTTTAACTTATATTTCTTTTTTGACAAATAAATATATGTCCACTTTGTGGACAAAATTCAATAACAGAATTTGACAGGTGAATCACACTCAGAGCTCAAGACTTTCAGAAAGAATCAATACATTATGTGACTTAAGAAAAACTGGAAAGTTTTACATATATTGTATCCAAGCCACAAGTGCAGTTAAAGCCATGGAATACATTGAAGTACTACTGTATTTTAATTTCTGTGTGGTCTGATAAGTTTTATCTTGCTTTTACTATCCAGTATATTTATTAAGAAAGTAATGATAAGTGCTAGTATTATATGGCAATCTCCCTCGAAAGTACAGTTGGCCAGGGCTTGTATGGCAATAGCCCTCAAAAATACAGATGGCCAGGGCAAGACTTTACTACTTAGAAATGGAGCTGTAAAGTATTTCTCAAATAAATAGAGGAATGTCTGGAAAGTTGGCATCAGAGAGGTGCATTTGCCATTAGCTTTTGGAATCCCCTCTGTTTTTATGTGTGCAAGTTATGTACATCTTTTAAAAGATGAATAACGTATTTTAAATTGTAAGCTCCATAGGTCAGGAACTGTGTGTTCATCAGTGCTTCATCCTGCACCAAGCATAATGTTAAGCTATGGGAAATAATAACATATTAACGTGTAAAAATAAAGTTTTTTAACACTGCAAAGTTAGACACTTGAAATTAGGAAATCTCAGATGTATGATTTTCTATGTAACCTTAATTCCGTGCTCTTGCTCACTGGCTGATTCAGAGGTCCTGTGTGGAAAAATAATAAGGGACTGTGTAATTAAAGATTATATCATAATTCATATAGATGACTATTCTAATCTATGGACCTTAATACTGTCTGCTGCACTTCTTTGTCCCTTACAATGGGAATGCTGGGTATTGGGAATGTTCCATGTGCCTGCTTGCATCCAATCTGTGTTGGCCTACAAAGATGCCACAAAGGCAATTCTCTCTGTACACCTACTGCAGAAGGCTAGAGTGACATGTTGGTGCAGATTAAATTTGCACTCCAGAGATGTGTGCTACTATACTGTGTAGGCATCACCCTGAGAATCATGGAAAGCTTCATCACAATTATCCTCCATCTCACTATGTAACTATGGGTATGTCTAAACTACATGGCAGGGGGTGTGGATTAAATTTGTACAGGCAACCATAAACCAGGCATTTCTTAACTTTCAAACATTTCATTTTGCAAACTAAATAATATTCTTTCACAGTTTGGGAGATTAATTTTTAAGAAAAAAGAGGTAAAAAATAATTACATGATCTACAACTGCAACGACCTATCATTCATCAACAACAGGATTCTAGTCTTCAACACTCCGGCACAGATTTTTTACATACTCACATACTTACTTGGCCATAAGAGAAGGCTGTTATATCAAAGTAGGGAATGGGCTGATACTTGGTCCATGGGGTTCCATCCCATGCCCAGTGCGTAGGTTCTCCTGCCCCATATAGCACTCATATGGGAGATTGTCATTGTAGAGCCTTGTATAGGCGCTGAAAGAAAATGAGATAGTGGAGCACAGCTCTCTTTCCTCTCCCCTTCTTCAGGCATCCCCAGCACAATGTGTGCAGTGGCTGCTTTGCCGATGGCCTTAAAATATTGATATTTGGTTATTATTTTGAAATGCTGGTAAAAATGTCGCTAAGAAATGCTAGTGAGAGAGTCATTCTGTGTGGAAGATGCTTTCATGCTAAACTGCCAGCACATTATCTGCTGCAGCATTAATCAACAGAGCCTGGGTGTGCTGCCACAGATATGCTTCTGCCAAAGCTTGGGGTTGATGACTTTCTAATTCCACAAATTGAACACTCCTGCCCTGTCCCTTCACTAAGGTCCTACCCTTGCCCAACCCCTTCTCTGAGGCCTTTCCTCTGCTCATTTCATCCCCCTCCCTCCATCCATTTTGTCTGGAAATGGATGACAGGAGAAGGATCATGTGAGGATTACCTGTTGGGTTCCCTCCCTATGAAGCATCTGGTATTGGCCTCTGTTGGCAGACAGGATACTGGGCTAGATGGACCTTTGGTCTGACCCAGGATGGCCATTCTTATGTTCTCCCTCTGACCCACCTTCACTCATTTTCACTGGGCTAGGACAGGGAGTTGGAGTATAGATGAGGAATGAGGGCTCTGGATGAGGGTACATTGACCCACCTTCACTCATTTTCACCGGGCTAGGACAGAGAGTTGGAGTATAGATGGGGAATGAGGGCTCTGGATGAGGGTACATGCTCTGGGACAGGGTTGGGATGAGGGTTTGGGGTGCAGTAGAGAGCTTCAGGAGGAATTGTGGTCTCCAGATGGGAGGCGTGGACTCTGGGGAGGGGGCGGAGATGAGGGGTTTGGGGTACAGGAGGAGCCTCAGGGCTGAGGCAAGAGGTTGGGGTGTGGGAAGGTTCAGGCTCCAGGAGAGAATCTGGGTGTGGAAGGGGAGTGTAGGTTCGGGCAGGAGGGTGGGTTGATTGTGAGTGCAGGGTCCCAGCTGTTCTTACCATGGCTTCCAAGTAAGTACCATGGCTTCCACTAAGTACCTGCGACCCCTAGGTGCATGGTGGAAAGCAAGGGAGGCTCTCTGCACCAATCTCATGCATGCAAGAATATACCTGTATCTTCGATGTGTTGTGGTTCCCAGTACAGAGCTTCAATGGCTTCCCCTGAACCTATGAGCCACAGGGACCTGGTAGCTGCTTCCAAGAGCCATGTGGAGCCAGAGTAGGAGGGAGTCTTCCTTGACCCTGGAACCACACTGTGCCATTGGCCAGGCTTCTGATAGTCCAGTGAGAACTACCAACCAGAACTGCCAGCTTTTCAACTGGTGTTTCAATAAAAAAAACTGACACCTGTCAGCAACCCTACCAGAGCTCCTGCTCTGCCTTCTTCCTTGTGTAAGGATTGAAGATGGCCATCTAAACTTGCTCATCAGCCAGGATCTATTTTTTTGGAGCTCAGATGTTTATTTGCAGATGACTCTGATGTGTGTTTTAAAACCTGTTATAAACTGGATGGCATGGTTTCTGTTGCTGTCTCATTTCATCATACTGCGGTATTTTTGTTTGCTTGCATAGTGAAAGGACTATTGAGAGATGCATAACCAACTGTAAAAATAAAGTGTGGTGTGTCAGAAGGAAAAAAATAACATGGGTAGGGTTTTTGAAGGGTAAGATGACATCAGATACAACAGTTCAGATGTACTGGAGGTGAGCTGATTCCTAGGTTACTGAGTTTGGTAGTTAGTCAAACTGTGTGCCAACTTCCCAAGATATATATATCTGTACACAGGACTGGGAGTGGCAATATATTTTATACAAGTTGGTTCCAGATGAGGGATTTTGCTGGAACAATGGAGTTTATTTCTGGCCCCCACTACTGCCAGCTCCCCTCCTGCTCTGCTGCCCCACTGGGTGTCCGGCTTCCCTGGCAGACCAGCTCCCACACCATGCCACCAGCCCAGCTGAGCCACAGACGAGCTGGAATGTATGCTGTGCTCCCTGTCTCTCCCCCCGCCCAGCATGCCATGATTCTGATTCTGGAATATCCATGGTCTTTCCTCAATACTGTTGACAGTACTATACACCAGTTGGCATCCAAAGAGATTGTAACAACATTTCGTTACGATTTACCTGAAGTGGAGTTTAAATGAGGTTACTCCCTTAAATAATAAACTTTTAAGGAATAAAAGATTTTTTTTAGGCTGTCAGGAATTATCTTCTATGATAGGGATGAGGAACTTCTGGCCCGTGGGTTGCACACAGTTTGTCAGGTTTAACCACTGAAGGGGTTATTGGCACATCACAATGAACATCAGCAGGCACAGAGCCCTGCAGCTCCCGGGCTGATAGACACATCACAATGAACATCAGCAGGCACAGAGCCCTGCAGCTCCCAGTGGTTTAGATTCAACATTTCTTGCCAATAGGAGTTGAGGGAAGTGATGCAGGTGGCCCATGGAGGTTTCCCACCCCACTTTATGACATCTTTTTATCTGCCTATAGTTCTAGGTATTTATCACATTCAGTGTTGTGGTATTTAGAGAAAGAGAGGAAAGAATCTAACAAAGCAGTTGAAATTGAAATTCCAATCTGTGATTTTATTTTTAGTGCACAGTATTTATATCCAGACTCTGTGTCTGAAACATAAGTGTACAAAAGTCAACTTCAAGTGAATTACAGAGGGTTTAAAATTGTTGATTAATACCATATTATATCTTCGGCTCTGCCTACACTGTAGTTCTTTTTCAGAAAAAGGTACACAAATTGTGAACCGCAATTTGTGTACCTTTTTCTGATTCTTTTTTTCAGAAGAGACTTTTCCGATATTTGGCCCATCTACACAGGGCCAAATGTTAGAAAAACCTCCTCTTTCGGAAGATCCCTTATTCCTCATAAAATTAGGAATACAGGGCTTCTGAAGGAATGCATCTGCTTTTTTGGAAATGGATCCAAAAAAGCGTAAACGTTCCCTGGATGCAGCAGTTTTTTCCAGCATACCTCCGGTATCCCAGAAGAACTCTGTAGTGTAGACATAGCCTTCCCCTCACTTAATATTGACTTTTTCTACAATGATATCTCAGACTTGGAGTAACATTTTTTTCTAGAAAGTCTCTCGTCCAGTCATGTAACAATAAATATTCTTCCCATATTTTACAATTTCACCTAGAAAAACATCAGACTAGATATTCATCCAGTCTATGGATTTTTTTTAAAAAATGAGAGAAAAAAATGTTGTTCTGATATTTCATCCTTTGATATTTCATCCTTTGTTTTTTTTAATATAACTTTGAGTGACACTAGGTGGTTTTAACTGTAAAGTAGTGAAGATTACCATATGTGAGATTATATAATTATTATTTATGAACAATAGGAAGATAGATCACCCATGGAAAGGAGAGTATGTAAATGGAGTGAGGGAGTCATCTGTGACCATCATTAGGTTAAATTAAATTTGTATTTAGTGTCAAGAAGAGAAAATCCATTAATTCACTACGTACATTTGCACTACTTAATCCTATCAATCTGTGACCGATTGTTATGATACACTCCTCATTTTAAACTAATAGTTTCCTGATTCAAGACAAGACTCCTGATTCTGGGACAGTTTTAACTTTTAAATCTACTTTACACTACAACATAATTCAATATTGTTTGTGTATATTTCTTCTTTTGTTTGGTACCATTCTGTTTTTTATGTGGCTTCTAGCTGAGAACTTTCTACCCTTAAAGCAATATTTAACTGTTTAAAATGCTATAGATAGTATAACTTATTTTAAATAATTTTTTTAATTAAAATTTTGTCTTATTTTTAAATGACTCATTTTTCATACTTTGATACTCATGACATCGAGTTTTTTTAATTAAAATTTCGTCTTATTTTTAAATGACTAATTTTTCATACTTTGATACTCATGACATCATAATATTTATTTACCAATATTTTTCTGACTTCTGGTAAAGACAGAATTTTTGGAATCAAAAGATAAGGAGATGCAGAAGAGTATTGGCAGTATGTCGTATAAGATGCTCTGTGTTCTGAACAGTTATTCTTGGGGTTGTAATTGCAAACATGGAGAATATGATTTGCTTTGTGCAATCCTTCACACCTGCAAATTTGTATGCATCTTAAACTTGAAGTTTCAATAACTCTTTAAATAACTTGGGTCCATTTTTTTTGTATCCACATTCTTTAATTTGATAACTTGTTGCCTATATCTGACTGGATTTCAGATAACTTTGAATGTCTGTATGTACTATTCTTTAGTTGGTAAAACTGAGCAGGAAATCTTACAAAAGCAGTCTCCCCTCTCTCTCATTATATGATGGTGATTCAGGAACCAGTCATAAATTTAATCAGAACAACATCAACACTTGGATGGAAACCAATAAAATAAAACCAACCATCAATAACAGAAACCCACTCATCTATGCTTTTCAAAATTTTACCAAAGGTTTTACTTTAGATTACATCTTAAAACAAACACAGTTGAAGGAAAGAGGAAGAGGTATTTTCACTGAGTAAATTATTCCTATAATTGGTAAGGAGAGGGATTGGAAACAAGAACCTATGTGTAAAATTAGATCTGGCTTCTCTCAGGTAAGTACTCTTGTGTCGGTACTGAGAAACCACCACCACTTGAAAAACAAAATAATAACTTTTGGTATTCAATGAATAGCTATTATAAGAATGAAAAATAATTGTCCTTGTGCTCCACAAATCTTGGTATGACTGAGAGATTACAGTTTCATAGACCGTACAAATGGAGGATTTACACATATTTTAGGGTATAAGAGGTTATTTTTGCTCATATATATTATAGGAAAATTTCTTGAGCTGGAGGATTCATAATGCCCCATGATTACCTGACTTGTAATCATAGTACTTGCTTTCATTCATATTGCTTTACGTGGTTAACTTCTCTGTTAACCAAGTAAACTTC